TTATGATAATAATCATGATTAACAAGAATTATTAGATGGTATGGATGCTTCTGATTGCTCTGAAGAGTATACACAAAGAAAAAGATAAACCTAACACCTTAAACTTTAAACCTTAGGCTTCGTAGCCACATTCCATTGCTCTGGAGTCACAGGGCAGACATGGCTGATAATATAGATTGAAAAAATTGCAACATTACTTAAATGTATAGTCCTATTAGTTATTTTATGCTAAGATAAGGGTTCTGGATGCAAAGGAGCATTTCACTGAGACTTTGGATGGTAACATTTGCACAGAGATGAGGCTGCAAACTCTGAACTTTCCAACTTCCTGAATCTTCCTAGCTAGCAGAAATAGTTCTCCCCTTGTCAATTTGTCAACTTAACATCCCACCCAAGGCAAACAACCTTCACTTGCATTAAACCTTTGCATGACTTCACTTGTGGCGTTTGCCGGAGAAGAGGTTGCTTATTCCCCACAGAACCCATTCTAACCATCTGTCATTGTCTCTAGCCTCATAACAAAAGTTCTATCCCAACATAGCCCAGATGGAAAAGCTGGTACAGGACCTGCTCCAGTGAAAGACAGCAAATACACCAAAGGAGTTGCAGAATTTTGTCAGTTTGTATTGAAAGAAGTCTTGAAAACATGTATAGGAATATGTCTTAATCCATTCAGGCTGTGATAACAAAATACCACAGACTGGCAGCTTATAAACTACAGAAATTTCTGACAGTTCTGGAGACTGGAAATCCAAGATCAAGGCACGAGGGACTTTCCCTGGTCATCCAGTGGTTGGGCCTCCGTGCTTCCACTGCAGGGAACACGAGTTCGACCCCTGGTCAGGGAACTAACATCCTGCAAGCCACGTGGCGTGGCCTAAAAAGACAAACAAAAACAAGATCAAGGCACCAGTGTGGTCACCTTCTGGTGAGGGCCCTCTTCCTAGTTCATAGATGGCACCTTCTTGCTGTGTTGTCACATGGTGAAGAGACAAAGGATCTCTCTGGAGCCTCTTTTATAACGCACCAATCCCATTCATGAGGCATCCAACCTCATGGCTTAAGCCCCTTCCAAAGGCGCCACCTCCCAATATCACGAACTTTGCGGGTTAAGATTCAAACGTATGAGTTCTAGGTGACACGATCATTCAGACCACAGCAGAATATATTCTGAGACTATTCAGAAGAATGAAATTCAGAAGACTGAATCAGTGTGAACGTATTGACATGGGTACACCTGCCTGGGATTCAGGATTAAATGTGTTGATTGAAGCACCAGGGGGTGGGACTAACCCTGTTAGGTTAGTAAAATAATGCCAAAAACATGTGAGGCAAAGATGGCAGAACATGTTTGGCACACTGAAGAACTATCAGACAGAAATATGAGCCACATATGTAATTCCTAGCTTTCTAGGATCCATATTTTAATCTAATATATTTTTTAAACTATCATTTCAAGTGCTCAACAACCACATGAGGCTAGTGGCTACCACAGTGGGTAGCACAGGCATAGGCAAAGGCATCTGGAGAATCCTAGAGATGAGACTCTGGAACGGGTTCAAAATGTACAAACTGCTTAGCCGCTCCCAACCATACCCTCACCTTGAAGGGCCCAGAAGACATTCTTTTGCCAAAATATTAAGAAACACACCTGTGACAGGAGCATATTCGTGTAAAGGACACTGGCGTCCTGTTACATAGCAGCATTAGGTTGTGGTTGTATTGACACTAAAAATGGTTAGACATGAAGGAGGGTTCTAGGAAGATGGCAGAGTAGAAAGCACCAGGAATCTGCCTCCCCACCTAGACAACAATTACACTGGCACAATCTATCTGAGAACTCTGGAGTCTACTGAAGACTTGAAACTTCCAGGGGAAGGCTTGGAAGGTAAATCGGGATTAATTTTGGTCAGTGTCAGCTCTTAGCATAGTAGCAGCTACCCCACCCCCAGCCTCGTGGCAGGCAGCTGTGCACCTGTTCCTGGAGCAGCCAGCACACAGCTTGCAGGAGGCAGGGTGAGCAAACAGAACCCAGTTCTCCAAATATTGGGGCTCTGTGCTCTGACTGCCAACTGCCGCCTCTGATCACAAAGGTGCAAACACAGGGAGATCAGCTGGGTGCTTTGTGACCACCTAGAGGGGTGGGATAAGGAGGGTGGGAGGGAGACGCAAGAGGGAGGAGACACGGGGATATATGTACAAAGCTGATTCACTTTGTTATACAGCAGAAACACAACACTGTAAAGCAATTACACTCCAATGAAGATGTTAAAAAACAAAACAAAACACAAAGGTGCAAACAAAGTAAGAGGCAGCCAGTGCTGTTGCACCGCCCCTCATTGTTGCAAGCCCCTCCCCCTCGGGCTGAAGTGACTTCCAGAAAATGTAAAGAGTTGGTGCCCTTCCCCCTGGAAACATCACAGCACAGCCTGTGCAGAGAAATACACCAGAAGAAAACCACTTTCCCAAAGAATTATAAGACCTGGGCTAACATTATGACCAGGAACTGGAGAAACATGTGGAAGTGGATTTTGAAAGCGCTGGGCCAGAGACACCTCAGTAAGAGTACATAAGAAACAACTTATTGACCCAGTGGCACTCTCTAACGATTCAAAATTTAAAGTCTTAGCAGGGAGTCCTGGAGGCAGTCCTAATATGCTTCTGGCATGACTCCTTAAAACTTGGTGTGGCAGGTCCTGTTCCTTGGGAAGCATACTCTGAGACGGAGATTAGTGTTCAGGAAACTTATTACTTTAGGAAGTGCTCTCAGAATCACACCCCATGAAAGGAATTAGAACTGGACCAAGGGAGAAGTTGGGTTACAGTGAAGTCTCAACAGAGGCACCATGGGGAAATCTGAACATCTGGTGGGTTGGCCCTTCAGAGTTGCTGAGGTGTGGACTGAGACCAGGCCCTCGTGCCCACACTGCCCAGGCACTGGATGTAGGTTGCCCCCAGGAAGGGGCCATGTGGGGCTCACCATGCTAGTGTTAAACTGCCATGAGAAAATACGGGTGCTACTACTACAAAGTGGGAGGCAGGAAGAAGCATGTCTGGAATCCACGGGATTCACTGGGCAGCTCTTGGTAATTTCATGCCCAGGTATGGGTTAGCAGACTGTTTACCAATGGCCCAACAAGCATAATACATCTTGTTGGGATGAAGGTCTGGGTCACCCAACGTTAGGGAAGCAACCTAGACTACTGATGTGGTGGTGCAAAGCTAGTTGTGGAATGCATGATGGAAGAGGGAGGATGACATTAATCATATATTAATTGTAGCCTCAGCTCCACCAAATGTTCCTCGCTTTCTGCACCATCTCCCACGCCATTTCTCCACTATTATTGTACGGGATACCTGCAGGAACCTGCTTAGTGGATTTGATAGGTGTACAAACATGGATAGGAAAAGGAATTAACACCCATGGAGCAACCCTTGCCTCATGGGAGATGGGACTCCAAAACAAATCCTCTCCTCTCCTACCCCTCATGAAGACAATTTTGAGGTGCATTCCATTCAGCTCTTCAGAAGGTCAGTGGCAGGTTTATGCCCCAGTTGCCCAGAGGATTAGCTCAACAGTGCATCCTTGACTTGGCTTTCCCTCCTTCCCTATTTCATTCTTCCTAGTGCCCCACTCTGTTTTCTTGGGATCACTTCTTCAAATAGACCCCCTGCCTGCAAGCCCTTGTCTTGGTGTCTGCTTTCTGAGAGAACCATTTCATGGGATTTAGTTTCTTATATTCATTTTACCAATGAGGATGTGTTTTGCCCAAGATCACATGGTGGAATGCAAGGTCACCTGGTGAATGTCTTGATTGCCCTGTATGTCTTCTTAGTAAGGCAGTATCCTGAAACCTGGTCCCTTCAAGATCCACTTCAGAGGTGAGTGATTCTACTTTTGGAGGACTTCCAAAATGCTGGCCAACATCAAGGCCTCTGTAAAGAGATGGTCCTCAGGGTCAGTGACAGGCTCACAATGGGTCCTTAGCAGAAAAGACAAATCAGTAGGCACTGAGCTTTCAGCCTAGAGATTTGATGTTCTTAGCAATCTGTTCCAAAATAATCTGTCAGTATCTTCCCTAAACACTTGTTAAACTGGGCAGTTCAGTTTTTTATTATGTTTCACTCAATAATAATATTGAATTATTCATTTAAAAATAATCTGGTCCCAATCACACCATGTGTTAATATCATTTTTCTACTGAATATCCTTAAACATAGTTTTCATAATTCCTAATTATTTCACTGTGTGCCTTTCCCGCTCCTCTTCCAAGATTCTAAGATTTAAGATACCTTTAACAAAAACACTTCATTATTTTCTCCTTAATCATAAATAGAAGAGGATTTGGAAAGTGAATTCTTGGAGGATGGGGAACCTGTCCATCTTGTTCATAGCGGATACTTAAATGTCTGTTGAATGAATTTACTCTAAGTCTTGGCAGGTTCACCTGTTGAGATTGGTCGATACTGGTTAACTCGGAAGATCTGTCTGATAGTTGTCTATCAGTCAGGACCGGCTAGATTATGCTGTAATAACAAACGTTTATTGAATTAAGACACTGAGATTTGGTGGTTGTTTTTCACTCACACTACATGTCCTATGTAGTTCAGCAGGGGAGCTCTGTTCATCATTACTCAAGGATCTAGGATGAGAGGTTTGATCTCAACATATGTTTCTATGATCATCAAGGCAAGAAAAGGGAATATGACAAATTGCACACTGGCTCTTAGAGCCCCACTCAGAAGTGACACATGGCCCTCTGCTCAGATTTCTTCAGCCAAAGCAAGTCTCATAACTACGACTATCTTCCAAATCTATTCTAAACAAAGTGTTACTTAAGTAGTAATGTAGCTTTCACCAGGAAAAAAAAAAAAATGTAGTATGAATTTGAAATTTTTGCCTGACCTTGACTCCTAACTTCACTTTAGAAGAGATATGCTGACCTTAAAGCAGACCCTTAAACTGCACACATAAAGAGTAAAAAACCAAGACAAAGGTATGCAGTTGCAAAATGGCCATTTATTGCCTACAGGGGAAGGAACGGGAGGGAGAGAAGGGGAAGTACACAGGTGCGAGGAAACAAGCATATATTTAGCCCTATACATCATGTGTGAGCAGTACCCAATCTCCAAAATGGAAAAAAGTATTTTGTCATCTGACATAGTAGTTAAGGTTCTTAAGCACCTCCCTCCTGAGCTGCCACAAGATTTAAAAGGCAGGACTGCTTTGTTTAGTCAATGTTCACATTAATGAAAAAATACTACCACCCAACTGTGTCCTTTTGCACGCATATTTTGTACAGTGTCTATTGTGAAAAACATCTCAGCTGAGCGGTTTGGTCAAGATACAGACCTCATCAACTGTTTAACCGTAATAAATAGAAAAATAAAGCAGCTGGTGATTTTGTCAGAGAGAATGTGTTCCGTAAGAGTAGAACCACTTTCTCCGGGGACGACAGAGTGTTAAATGATTAGAACACCACAGAACCAGTCTATCAAACATTAAACACTAGTAACCTACAATTACATGGCACTTCATTAAATCTTCTGATTAAAAAAAAAAAAAAGAAAGAAAATCTCAGATTTTAAACTGATTATTAGAACACAATAACAAATTGATTTAGGGCTTGGCTTTTTCTTAGGACAAAAGCAAAGTAAATACACAACCCAAAACAGTAGAATCTGTTTTGGAATAGCATCAATAGAAACTACCAAGTTTGCAAGGAAACTTACCAAAACTTCTTGCTCAGTTTTAAACTCATGTGCTTTGCTTTCCAACCATTAAATTAGTTACAAAAACACTTTAGAGGCCACAGAATGACTCAAATGTACGCAAAACAATGGAGATTAATTTAATGCCAAGAAATTAAAATAAATGAGCCCTTCCCTATTCAAATGGTAAACTGAGTGGAAGAGTCAGTCATCTCACGGACAATTAGTTGGCACTTGTTTTATGGTTGAAAGAAATCACAATAGAAAAAAATATATAAATTAATCCACGGTGAATTTGACCAACACCCTGGCCCTTTCAGAGAGAAAAGGTACATACACACTCTCCAAAAAACCCCAAACAAAACCCACCTCCCTCCATGCCGCCCCGCTCCACTCAGACGACAAAACCCAAAGGTGAAACATTCATCCCTCTCAAAATATACTAAGTACTCCAACGAATCCTACCCCTCAGCTTCTCCTAGATGAAAGAATTGCTTGCATGTGGACAACTGTACGAATGCCCATAGTGCACTTCTCAGTGCTGCTGGTGTTTAAGAAATTTGCCACTCACAACACTGAACAATTCCACACCCGGTGTGCAGCAACACAGCCATCCAAGCCACGCCCCCAAAACCTGGCAGAGCACCGCTCAAGAATTTCAAAGGTAAGGAAATATATTTTAAGCAAATTAAGCACAGAGAAAGGACAGTACAGTTTCTGAATAAATACACACCCAGACTACTGCATCACTTACTGCGTCAAGATTTAAACAAGTAGCGTGAAACTAAGCCTCTTCGGTGAGAAGCAAAGCCATTGTTTGACACATTAACGCTGAGCCAATTGTGTGAGTTAACTAATTAAACAAATGTGGTACATATAACCATTGATAACTTGAAAGGAAACAGTCATATATCAGTAATTAGAAATTAACACAAAACTGAAATGAGCAAGAAAGGACCCCTTCTGAGAGGGCTGCCGTGATGCTTATGCTTTCGAGTTAAAAGTGACAGACATACAAATAGGGAAATTATCTAAATTTGGGGAGACTGTTGTAACAAAAACAACAACTAGTAGGCGCCAAACTATGCCTTCTGAAAGTTTCTGGAAGCTGAATATACCCAATGCTACTGTGCCAAAAGACTCATATCACTTGGCATTTGCAAACACTCTTCATAATGTGATTTATTTCTGATGACACAATTCCTCGTGTCAGTACAATGCTACTAAATTTTATACCACTGCCATAGAAAATTAACATTTAATACGCAGAAATGTCCTTATTTCACATGAAAGTGAAAATTATTTTACTTAAAATTCCATTACTTCGATGTCATAATGTTTGTTGAATAAAACCTCAACATGCTTGTTTTCCTTTGGTTCCAAGAATAACCAAGTCTAACCAAACAAACTTATGCCAAAAGAAATTACTAACTAGGCTAATAAAGCTTGCTTTTCCTGGTATTTCCCTATTTCTTATAGAACTTGTGATTTAACAGAGAAACCTACACAAGGCATCTGGTTAAAAACAAGAAACATGCACGTTCTCCCTTACCACCTTCCTGAAAAGAACTACCTTTTTCTTTCAGTGGATCTTGTTCAGAACACCCTGCAGTATAGGTATAAGAACCTTCTTTTTTCTTTTAAGCTTTAAGGTGACACACAATGAAGATGTATCATGTTGTAAAACACAAGATGTTCTTGGCATCCTGTTCTTAAACAGATTACAACTTTGGTAAATAAACCAGGTTAAGATGAACTAATTTACTTAGGTTTGAATTCAAATTTAGTAATCATGATGCTGTTAAAAAATTACAATCACTCAAAGCAACCATAAGTATAAAAGTTCTCATCTGTCTACAAATTCAAAACTTTAAAGCTCCTAGCTTAGAAAAATATTCTAATTTCCCTAGTTAATTTGTGTACCAATAATTCACAGAGTTCTACAAATGGGAATGAAGAACCATATGCCTCTGGTTCCATCAAAGAACACATTTAACCTTTTTTTTTTTTTTCTTGTGCTTTCTCTATTCTTTGCTATTTGATTTGAAATTATACATGGCACTAGTGATTTTTAGAAACTCTTGGAAATGCAAGTACAAACTTAATCTTTCACCCATTTAATGGTATATACTTAGGAGATACAATTTTAAAATGGAACACCATACGATTGCCCGTGTTCCAGTTTTAATGTGTCACATCCTCAATTCTAATACAACCCACCGTAGAATCAAGTGATATGAGCCTTCAGGATCTTTCAACTTTCTCCCTTGCTTCTCTGTGATTTAATAGGTAACTTTAAAACACCAAATAGGGACAAATAAGAAATGAAGCTTTATATTTCTGCAAACTACAACACTAACACACAGTGGCTTCTGTAATACATTCACACAGGATGCTTATTAGTAAAATTAAATATTTGCCTATGAATATCAGAAAAGTAATTTGAAAAGAAAGAGCTTGGAACAAGGCAAATGGGAGGGAGGAAAAGCTGGTCTCAGAACCCATTGTGCCATACCTGACTTTAACATGTGATATTCAAACGAACGTTCACACGCCTTACATCAAAGAAATGAAACAAAAATATTCAGCTACGTTGTACAAAAATTTTTTTCCATAAAAGATCATAAATCTTGAACAGATTTACTATATTTGAATTCTAAAAAGTTGCCTATAGAATGGTGCTGGGATTCTGTTCTCTGCTTGCTTTTAGGCAGTGCTGTTGCTTAAAAGTTGACACCAGGCACAATATTTTAAAACAAAGTCAACAAGCAAGGAGCAGTACGTGGATTTGAGCCTTTCCCAGATGTCAGTCCTGAGGATGCTGCAAGACTCCCCATCAAAATGTGTAAAGCTATGAGGCGGATACTGATGCCTGAGAGAGTGAGTGACGACATGCACTGTATGACTGCTGTAATGCCAAACAGTGCAGTTTTCCCCTCCTCAAACAGCACGGTTTCAATAAATTTAAAGAACACTCCAGTTCTTAGAAAAATATCAGAAATCATATTTAACAGTTAAAAAAAAACATTATCACAATCTAAAAATGCCCAAATTTTCTCTTATCTTCCGATAAAATATGCAGCAGCCCCATGGCATAAAGCTAATTAACTTATTCTGAGAACCAGAAAGTATATGAGCATAAATATTTTACTTTCACTGAATATACACCATATGTCATTCACCTCTTCCTTTTGGCTTTTCATGCCAAAGGTCCAAATGGCATGTGTTTTTAACAAGACAACACTGAGGAGAGCAGCATTTCTGATCATCTGAATTGGCAGCTCAAAACAGATACCACTCCTTTTACAAAGGGAACAAAGGGTGAAGGGTGTGTGAAATTTGGGCAGTGGGCTAAAGGGAAACCGTGCACATGAAATTTGGGTTACCATGCCCCAAGTGTGTTTGCCACCCAAAACAGAACACAATTACCTACTTTAACAGAGCTACTACCAACATTTACTAAAACCACATTAAAAATACACAGGATAATGAATGGTTTGAAAGAGTGCATTTGGAAGCAGAGAGAACCCAATTACACACCTTCCTGCAACAGAGTGCCTCAATCATACACAAAATAAACTTAAGCTGTTTACAATGTTTCCCAATTTTTTTTATTTTTCCCTCTACATTTAACTATTAAAAAAGTTTTTTTATTAATAAATGGGCTCCTCTGTGGTTCATATACAATCATAAGTGAACTTTAAATTCCATTTTATACAAACATCTCAAAAAATATTGGGAGTGAAGTATGGTAAGAAATATTGCTCACATTGCTAATTAACATGCGTAGATGAAAGGAGGAAAATGTTTTGTTAGTGCATATACCTCCAGAGCAGAAAACCCACCCAAAACAAAAGATTTAAAATAAAACATACAGTAGCTGATTACAAAAAAAGGTAATGTCCACAAAATTAAGTTTTTCATGCTATTCTACTTTCCAGTACTATGTAATCAATTTGCATGGCTAGATGTTGAATGCTTGAGGTATATAAGAAGGGATACCTGCACATTGAGGAAAATCTGTCATCTTAAGGGTTGTTTCTTTGTTTATTTTGTTTATTCTGATATCTTGACATTTTTAAAAGAATATTTTATTTACATCAAACTTCACTCAACTACAATGACATTCCAATTATAATAGATGACAAACAACGCCTCTATCACTAGGCACTTTTAAAAGGGAGTTTAGGCTTTACAGAACCCTTCTGATGCAATCCCATATATGACATTACATCAACCCACCTCCCTCGTCGCACTAAAATTACCCTTCAGGGGAAATATCATATTATGTAGCCTGATTAATTTACTATGGAAGAAATTAGTATAAAATGACCACAGGAAACGCATCATTTAAGACTAATAAAACAGCCTAAGATGTCAGGTTTGAAAGAGGAGACAAATTGTATATATTTAAAACTAATTAAATAATTTAAATTTGACCTGTACTTTATATATTAGTGAAACACAAATATAGGCTATTTTCTTTTAAAATTTCATTCACATAATGGAAAGTTTCTTGTTTATTAAAAATATCACATTTTGAGACTAGAAACAGTAAAGTGCATGAAAAGTTTAAAATATAAATTTCAGAAAACTCTTATAGCAGCAAAAAAGCAGAATAAAGAAAAACTTAAAAACACAGACACAACCTTTTCCTGTTACTGTGCCATAATTAACATCAAGTAGCCAACCAATTTTTCCCCCATTAAATGGTATTTCAACCACTGCCTCTTGAGTCACAGATTTTCAACTGGCCCCTCCTGGGCGAAAAAAGGATTCTAACATATCTAAAGAGCATCAACAGTTGGGAATAAACCAGTAGCTTCTTAATTCAACCCTGACAGACAACGGAAACAAAGATTAAAAGCATATAATGGCCATTTGGCAACTAGAGTCAGGAAAAATGATCCAAGGTTTTCAACTACTCCCTGTTCTCTCTCCCAAATCCTTTCCACTGTCACCTCAAAAAGCCAAAACCAACAGCCACTTGACCTACTCTGGGAAACACATGGAATATTTGTAGCTTTCTTCTTCTAAAACTTTGATCAGGGCCTTTTCATTCAGTAGTTATTTTTTAAACATTTGACCATAACAGCAAAAATGATACAGATCATATAATATCTGTTTTTTCCAGCACAACCAGGCAGAAAAGGGTGGATGGAAACAATAAAAAATACTGGACACTAATTTTGTGGGCATCCTAAATAGACCAAATTCTATTTTCAAGATGTGTGGCAGTAGAAATTACCCATTGTTTTCCTATAAAGAAACTGAACAGACAGGCTTAGAATTAACACTTCTAGTAAGGTTATAACTAATAGGGGAACAAAATACAGAATGACTCCTCAAAAAACAAAACAAACAAATAAAAAAAAACCAACCAGCACTTCCCCAACAAATTGTTGTGTGCTGTTAAATGCTTGATTTTGAAACCATATTGTGCAATCACCTTTCATTTCTCAGTTTTTCTCATTATGGCTAGTTTATGTACAGATCTAGCAAATTTAAGTGCTTTGTTAATGTGCAAATGACTGGGGAGCCAAAAATCAGTTTGTTATCATGGAAAACAGAAATTCAAGGCAGTTTCCTGCAAGGCATGCCATCATTCAGTTTAAAATCTTTTATTTATAGTTTTTAAAAACTGCCTTTCACAAAAATGAAAAATGGTTGGCTCACTTGAAACCATTCAAAAGAAAGTATTTGTTCTGGAAAAACAAATACCCTGTTGTTGGGCCTTGAACTGGTGATTTATCAATTATGAATGCTGACTCCTAATATAATATGAAGAAGGTCCAACTTAAAAACATGTTAAATTAAAAATTTGGAAAGAGAGTGATAATACTTTGGTTCCAGCCCTAGTGCCAAATGATACCAATATGCACAAAATTGTACAAAATCTTATAGCAAACACATAATGAAAGGAACCTGAAGAAGCAGCTTAAGGATGGCCATACTTCACTCCTACATACTTTGATTTACAACTGTACAGGTCCATAGTAACAGATCCCCGTCTTTGCGGGGCAGTACTCCACTACCTCCGATTAGGCAAGTGAACACCATTGACAAGAGGCAGGAGTGGAGGGTGGAGTTCAAGTTGTGTTAACAGTGAGAAGTGGTCTGAAGGGATGTGAGGGTGTGGACACCCAGTGATGTTGTTCTCAACCAGCCATTGAGGATCTAAAGGCCCCAGGACACCAAGCACGTTCATATGAGTCTTGGAATAGAAAATGTAGTCAATCACGCCCTGAAAAGAGATTGGGAGTTGGGAAAAAAAGAAAAATATATGCTTAGATAAAAGAAAAACTTAAGATATATAAAAGAACAATTCATAATTTGTAAAAGCCAAATACCTGAGTAACCTGTATTTCTGGTACACCTGCTGTCTTCACAATGGGTCAAATAGAGCTCAAATCTTGAATGGGTATTACATGAAATAAAGGTGGCTGGACAGGGAAACACAGTACCCTAGTGGAATCATAAAGCCTTGCACATGTGCATAAGTGGTAAGCAAATTGAGAAGCTAAGCACACCAAATCATGTCTAGGCATCTTTAGAACTGGCTTGCTTGGGTCAGTGAAATCTAATTTATCAGTATAAACAATATGGAAACTGCACTGACTCTGTTACAATAAACAGAAAATCAGAATATTTATACAAACATATACAAAGTTAATGAAAAGTTATGACAAGAATAATTTTTGTAATGATAACTGGTATGATACTCAGTTATTTGTACATCAATCAAACACATCTGAATGAAGCCACTGTAAAGCATGTTTTCAGATTTGCTAATCCTAGTTCAGCTTTCCCAAATTTTATACATATATACAAAATACTGCACACATTTAATCATTCTAATCTGTTCTTAAGTTTAGAATATTCACTTTCACAAATCCTGGTGTACTATAAATTCTGGATTCCTTGCTGCACAACAGTACCTCAGCAAAAAACATTCAGTAAAGACCTATCTATGTATTCAGTTGTATCTCTCAGAGCTAGATGATTCGGTTTATCTGATCAGTAAGTTTCAAAACTAGTGTGCTTTTTTTGCCCCAGGCTATGTATGCAAGAGTGTGAAGTCAGATTTCTTCCTTCCCACATCAAGAGAGACTGAGCCCAAGTATGAAGAAAGAGTTCCACACCTGGAAATACCTATTCATAAATACTATACACAGTGAGTTCTAGCTAATATTTTTAAATGGTATCACAGTGAAATGGGCTACTTTATTAAAAGAAAAAAACAAGAATTCAATGAAAAAAATTATACTGTGAAATTTCGGAAACAATTACCTTAGTTTGCTGATTTTGACATGACCAAGACCAAAACAACAAAACAGTCCTTTTGAGGGAGAGGGCCTTATTCAACATTAGATACTTTAACCTTACTTTACCACAGATTAAGGAACCTACGTGAATCCAGGGGAGTACTTTCTGCCATTAATGCTCCAAATCCAAATAGTCAAGAAATATTAATACAATGTATTTTTATCCCTTCATTTTGGCTAATGCCTAGTTTTGCAGTGACGTTTTAGGAAAAGGGTTGACAAGAGTTTCAGTGGTTTTACTTTCTTTTATGAGACCACCCTTTACTTCAGCAAACACATTTAAAACATTTGTGTTTTAAACAAAACACAAACAAAACATTTTCAATTAGTTATGTTGAATAAAACCTCTTATAACTTATCACTTTATTATAAAGTAGCATTATGCACATTAGCTACTAGAGTTAGAGAATCCTTTGCAAACATAGGCCCCAATAACGATGTTAAACATTCCAGAAAGTAAGAACTGGAGATATCACTTGTAACTGTTTTCTTGGTTTGAAACACCCAGAGTAAAAGCTCTAATCAAAAACCTTAGCAAGTTCATGTCTGAACTCGCCCAAGTATTTATACATATATACACCTTGTACACTGTATCATATTCACAAAGAAGGTTATAGACTAACGATTCTTAACCTTTTCTGATTCAAACTGTTTCTTTTTTTAACAGATCATGAAAAGGTGGGAAAAGTCTTTATATTAGTAAAGTCTATAGGTAAGTCTATAGAAGTGTATATGAGAAAAAAGTAAAAACAATGAAAATAGTTTGAGGTAACATTATGCTAAGTTTTGTTTTGTAAAAGAATGTGAGAAAATTATACACTATAAATTTCACAATGTGTAACAGAAAGATTTACTACTTGACATAATAGGAAAACTGTCCTTCCTTTTTTCATTAAATGGTTCAGACACACCCTTAGATTGGCGCGGGACAGGAGGGGGGGGCAGGTGATGGTGAAAGCAGCGGCAAGTTTGAATTAGGCTGTTTATTCAACTTATCTGATGTTACGAACTGAATGTTTGTGTTCCCCCCAAATTTCTATGTTGAAATCCTAACCCCTAACCTGATGGTATAAGAGGGTGGGGCTTTTGGCAGGTGATTAGGTCATAAAGATGGAACCCTCATGAATGGGATTAGTGCTCTATAAAAAGAGACCCCAGAGAGCTCTCACTCCGCCATGTGAGGATGCAACGAGAAAACAGCTGTCTGCAACCCAGAAGAGGACCCTCATTAGAACGTGACCATGCTGGCACCTGATCTTACGCTTCAAGCCTCCAGAACTGTGAGAAATAAATTTCTGTTGTTTTATAAGCCACACAGTTTATGGTATTCTGTTATGGCAACCTAAACTCACTAAGAAACCTTGTCTACAAGTAATTCTCCTAACTGCTTACCCTTCAAGTCATTCCAAATCAGTTCTAGATTAAATGACTCTGAGTTCTAAATACCACGTTTCTACATTTCTAATTTATTTGAGAACCAAGTAAGTAAAAAATGCTAAGCCAAGTAAACAAAGTTTAACAGTACTCCATTGATGCAATGGCAGAATACTATACTTCGATCTGTATTTAATGCTAATCACAAGACATTTTTACATTTGATGTTACCTATCCTTTTTTACCAGCTGCCTTCAATATTGGCACAGCACTAATTACATAAAATGCTTTGTAAGAAATTGAAAAGTTTATTGTCTGCTACTTGGACCAAGAGCTTAATTCTCTCTAGTCAGGTATGCCCTTAGTTTGTTCTCTGGTCATCCTTCTTTTCCATCCTATTCCACCCTCCCATCCATCTACCCAGCCAGCCAGCGTTATTTATCCTCCCCATTCATGGCTCTCTCGCGCGGATTTATAGTTCTGCCATTTCTCATCCTATCCTACATATGCTAACATCAAACACTCTCTGAACCATGCACTTTTGGTTCTTTAACTGTACTTCTTTAGACAACATAAATGCTTCAATAAGATTCTTTTATTCACTTATTAATACATGTAAGTTCTTTTGAAGAAACATCAACAAAAGACTTGAAAACAACTCAGATGATCGAGGAAGATGGCTTAGATTAATATTCTAAACATTATTTCCCTAATTTTTACTTTGTGGATAAGGTAAAAGTAACCTTTATAAAAGCCTAGTTAAGGTAGAAATGATTTGGTCTTTTTACCTATACACAAACCAAAAGAACAATAAGAGTTGTAGAATTACTGAACACTTATTTTAAGGAACTTTATTTTAGGTTTTCTGGGTTGTGCTGTGCTGGCAGAGCTGTATTATATACCACTGTATAGGATTTAACCTACAGTAATCTGTGTATCATTAAGTCCCGAGGTTTTCCTTTAAGCTTACACAAGAAGCCATGGTATGATAGAGTCAGCTAGTACTTGCTTTCTTAGCACTTCATCCCGACTCTGTGTTCAATGGTATGACGTTGGGAGCTTGAAATCTACTACAATGGGAGTACACGTACCACAGAAATCAGCAAACACTACAAATTTGGGCTTCTTTTTTTTCTCAGAAAGCTGATTATTAAATATGTACCAGCACATTACTGCATATGAGTGATCTGAACAAAATCAATTATCTCTGAATAGTATTTTCTACTCTAACAGCAAAAATACTAAAATTAGATTCAACTTCTAAACAATTCTTTTCCACTTCTTGATTACAAAAACTGACCAATAACATAAGCACACAAATTTCCTTTCTTCTTCCTACTATCTGTTTCTTGGAAAGGGGCTAACAAGCACTGAAAATGGAAAAAGGTTATCGGAGATGTGTAAGAGCCCAATTCGTAAATTTCCTTTGGTATTTTATTAAATTCCCCATCTAGGATTCTTACTCCTAACCACTTTCTAACATCTACATTTTTTCAGCATAGTATAAGACTTTAGGATAGATGCCTGAAACGCCAGAAAGTCAAACAAAGGTACAATAGAAGAGCTACAGGCAGAGTGATTAGAAAACTGGCAAAGGGAAAGGGACTGACTACAGAAAATCACTGCCAATCAATGTTTCAAAAGAACAACTGGCCCTCTAATTTTTTTTTTTCTTATTTTGCGAAAAAAAAAAATCTTTCTTGTCCTTTTACTAAGCTGGAATGGTCTACTGTCTGGGCATTGATTAGTATGACAACATGGATATAAAATAGACCCTAAGCACAACTTTCTCTAGCCCATCTCACCAAGAAACCTGGAAAATTTAAAGATAAATAAGATATCAATGGAAAGTACTACGAAAATTTTGAGGGAATACTCTACAAATTCATTCAAGATGAATGTAGCTATATCAGGCTGCTTATTATTTGGATCCTTACTGAAAGTCAGGGATGGTATGGACAAGTGAAGATTAACTATATTAATAAATATAAAGTGCTTTTGAACAGTGCCTGGCACACACATAGTAAAGTATTTCGGAATTTTTTGCTATTATCACGGTTATTTGAAATTTGAACAAATAAGGGTTCAAAGAGGATTCTCAAGTCAACAATAACCACCACAAAACCTAAGAAACCTCCTTACATTACGTGCACACTTAGCCAAGACATTTTGAGAATGTAAAAAATCCTGAAGATTACACTGTTAAGCATAAATAACACATATCTTTCTTGTCATATGTTTGCATTTGACATAATTTCTATGCCAACCCAGAGGCTGTCACTTACTTTGAAATCAAAGGTGTAATTGGTGTAAGGCATCAAGTTATTTTCATAGGCGCTCTTCAGTTGGAAGCCATGTGTGATTCTCCCTTCTGAGCTTCCATTCTTTCCATTGCAGCTGAAGTTCATAAGACACTCATTGTACCTTAGTTCCTTGAAGTCTTTATGGTTGTCAGCTACTCCTCCATTGCTTAAATATTCCACGACACCTAGTAGAATAAAGAAGGAAGAAATACTACCATTTAGCACTTAGACCTTACAGAAGACTTCATTGGCCAAAATCTGTTGCCAGGTGCATGCACCAAGTTCAGAGTGGTTTTATTATACTGAATATTTACTTTTACATATGAAACCGCCTTTTTGTTGTTGATGCTAAAAAAAAATCAAGTATCAGCAACTTCATATGGTTCCATCACACTGAGGTGTATTTGCCTACTCCAGAGCAAAATGTCCTGATCACCCAGAAACATCTTCAGTTTTCTTAATGGTTCTTCAAGCTGAAGATGATTCCCAGGGTCTAGGATGGCATTCACCAGGAGGGTCTTGACCCTAAATATTCTTAGAATGTTATTGCAAAGCACTATCTCTTTAGCATTTCAACATTCTATGCAGTCCATCAACAACTTCTGGAATATGTAAAATATAGCATACATAATAAAAAATTTTAAATCATTGACAATAAAAATAGATTTTGCATCTTCAACACTGCAATGTCTAGCTTCAGCTAGGCCACATCATTCTTTGTTTTGAGCTGCAGTGACACTAAACAGTACATTATACGCTGGAGGTATACCACTTGGTCAAAAATATTAGATGTGTCTAAAAAGCTGAAGAGAGCAGAGGCATTCAGAAAAAGCTCACCACTTCCACTGAATAAGTAAACATGAAAAAAGTACCACAACCCTTCTTATGACGATGATGATTACTAAAGTTTGTCAGTCATCTCTTTCTATTTGTGATCAGGAATGACAGCAACATATATAATGAATAAATGATGAGCACAACATCAGTATTGTGAATAGCTGAAAAGGAGCCATCATTTATCTAGCAGTTACTACATGTCAGGCACTGTTGTAAGAGCCTTACACACTTAAACCTTACAAACAACTCTATGACGTGGATAAAATGATTACCCCTTTATTTAAAAATGAGGAACTTAGCCATAGATTGCATAGCTCCTAAGTGGCAGAACCAGGATCCAGCCCTGACAGTCTGGCTTGAGTCAACTCGGCATGCTGTGATGCCAAATGATAGCTCATTGGCTTATAACCAAATCAAATGAGATGGGGGAAACCTGTGCTTGAGAGCAATTTACTCAAGAAAAGAAAAGGATTAAAAAAGGAGGACATGGTTAAGGTGTCAATGAGCCTAGGGGCTGAATACAAACACTTGTGAAAGGACGATTTCGACATTTATTTGCTAAGGAGAAAAAGCAAAGGTGTTTTCTAGATTTGAGACTTTTATTAATATTACAGTTGTAGGCATTTGGGTTATGTTATATTTATTCTTGAGTGGTTATTTTAAACAATTTAAAGTAGCTTATTGAAAATATACAAAATTTAGAATATGCCTCAGTAGTAGCAAAACTGTGATACTATAATGTTTTATATTTGAATTTTAATATCTAAGTGCAGAACTGATTTTTTACAAAGATCTAAAATAATTTAAGTTAGGACATAAAGTAGTTAAGTGGAGCTCAAGAAGTAATGTGAAATCCTAAGATAATTTTGATTACTCTTCTGCACCTAATATCAGAATTCAAGCATCATTTAATGAATTCACTTAAAGGTTGCCAACATTATTAAACTAGATAGCTACCTGTGCTGAATATTTTCTGGTTGCTTCTTCAGGTCACCCTTCTCCACTGTATTCTGTGCGGCAGGAGGCTGACCTTTACTTGCATCAACTGCAAACCCCTCCCCGCTCTAGCTTCTAGTTGGATTTGGTCAATGGACAGCAGTGGCGAGAGATCAGAGGACAGTAGCAGAGTGAGGCAGGGATATATATTCCCCTGGCTTGTCAGTTTGCAAGGGATTGATCGCAACCCAATTCAAATCCATGACTCCTATTACACGGCCCTCTCCTCGTAACTATTTTTTTTCCGAGTTCTGATAACAGCTCCCACCACTTTTCCCCCTTAGGTGTACAGGTGGTGAAGGGTCCCTATCTCCCCTAGTGGCAGGGTACTGCATCACTCATTGTTTTGTGTCCCTAACCCTGCACACATCTTTGGAAATAGCTTAACTAAATAAACTCTCCTCAATTACTCCATGTCCCATTCCTGGGATTCTTACTGATACACTCTCTAATTTAGAAGGGAAAGTCTCTACTCAAAAGTTAAGAGCTAACTGACCTTTCAACTAGAAGTAAAAACAAAACTGAAAGCGAAGAGGAAATGACGTTATAAATACCTGAATCTGGCAATGAATTAAGATCTGCACATAGCACCAGCGGGATGGAATTAGGATCTGCAGTTGGGCTGCCAGGCCTACTTGAGGCTTTCTCCAGAATGTTTTTAACCTCTGAGACAAACATCATGGTCTGAATGAGTTTCACATCAGAATACTCTGGGTCCCAATGCATGTGGGCATTTGCCACTATAAGCAGCTGTTTGTCTGCAGCATGAATAGGCTTCATACCTAAATTTAAGCATTAGGGAAACAAAGGTTAAGATTATACTTTATGTATCAAAAAAGCAGTATCTTAAGGTTTTCTCCCCCAAACCCATAACCACTTCTTTATTCTTTTCCATTCATTTATATTTTCCCCTTTATCTCATAAAGTAGTTCTTAGAAGCTAAAGTGCTGAGATTCTGGTAATCCCAACATGGGGGTCGACAAACTGCAGCCCACGGGCCAAGTCTGGCCAACCACCTGTTTTTGTACAACCTGCATGAGCTAAGGCTGGTTTTACATTTTTAAAGAGTCTACCAAACATTTTTTAGAAGATTGTGATAGAGGCCATATGTGGCCCTCAGAGCCTAAACTATTAACAACCTGGCCCTTTACAGAAAAAGTCTGCCAACTCCTGCTCTCTACCCAAGTTAGGAACTATACTGTGATGTAACCAACGATTAGTTAGAGTACCTTGATTTGCTGAGCTTAGTGTGAACAAGCAGCTTAAATATCTCTGTCATTTAAACACCACAATAACCTAGTGAGAGGTAGGTTTTCAGTTACTTGAATCACCTAAACCTTAATTTAAGTTCTTCCTACTGCCCAGTACGTATTCACCTTGCATTTCCTGAGCACACCAGTGACAGGGTCAGCAGTAAGAGGCAGTAACATTATATTAACCTATACAAAATAAAGTAAGGCAGTGAATTTGTTATGAATCTGCTACCAAAACAAATTCATACCACACACCCAAAAGAAGTAATTTAAAAATTGAGAATTAGGGAGTAGTGTGCTCTCAAAGTCTGGACATGGGTTTCAGACTTGGCTTTATTACTAATTACTAACCTTTATTTCTAATCACTTAGCCATGCTGGTGTTCAGTTGAATACCTCATTTGGACAATGAGGTATTCAACTATAAAATCTCTAAGGTTATTTTTTCCCCTAAAATACTGTTTTATAATTCTGTCAAAATAAATATTAACATGGTGGATGAGGATAACACACTAAAAAACTTGCCCTTTCAAAGAGGCCATAAGCACCTCTGAAGGGGCAAACTGTGAAAACTGTGTACTGACAGAGAAAAAAAGTGTCCATAAAGTTTTTAAGGCTCAAAACTCAATATGCATTGTACGATGCCATTTAAATAAAACTATACACATGTACGTTAGTAATGTGTAAAGAATGAATAAGAGTTACTCCGAGAGGGTATGAATAAGATGAAGGGACTCTCACGTTTTACTCTATGTACTTTTGTACTGCTGGAATATTAGATACATACAAAATTATTTTTTCTATAGAATTTCTATAAGTATCTCTTAACATTTTCTATTAAAAATATAAACTCTGCAGAAAGACCTGATTTTCTTAGCCTACTATTTTGGTAAAGTTTCCGTCTTACCAAGCTATAATAATGTTGAGTAAACAAATAACTGAAGTATCTTTCATATGTGACAGAAATGGTCATTTTTAAAGCAATCTGATCGTTCTCTAAGCTCTCTTCTTTCCCTAGGAGTTTTACAGTGTCACTTTTGGCTGTAGATTAAATGTTCACTATACTAAATATTAAAAACTTGCCCCTTCAAAAAGGCCATAAGCACCTTCTATAATATTAAATTACTCTTCCAGGAGTATAAGAGAGAGGTATTTCAGAATGTGAAAGTTTTAACTGTATAATTTGTAATTACTCTTCTGCAAATTAAAAGGAGAGTAAAACTAAAAGAAATTCAATGTTCGCATTACCAGAAAAAAAGGTACCAAACTTTTGAGAAGAATGAGACTGGAAAGGACATAAAAGTCAGTAAAAATGGAGAGGCTACAAAAGAAGAAGGAATTTAAAATCTCACATCAAAGACTGATTATCTTTGATGATGGATAAACTGAAGAACAGTGAGAAAAGGAGGTTTGACAGATACGCATGGTCTGAATAATTCAATCAGTACTTAAGGCAAAAATCTTTTCTTCTACAGGTAGAAAAAAATCATGGACATATATACACTACCAAATGTAAGGTAGATAGCTAGTGGGAAGCAGCCGCATAGCACAGGGAGATCAGCTCGGTGCTTTGTGACCGCCTGGAGGGGTGGGTTAGGGAGGGTGGGAGGGAGGTAGACACAAGAGGGAAGAGATATGGGAACATATGTATATGTATAACTGATTCACTTTGTTATAAAGCAAAAACTAACACACCATTGTAAAGAAATTATACTCAAAAAAGATTTAAAAAAAAAAAAAAGCCCTGATGTGGTCTTGACACCTTCTCCTTGCTCTTACCTAAAATATAGTTAAGTAAACAATGAAATACTGAAAGGCAGGCAGTAGAGAGGGGGAAAAAAAGGTCTGGATATGCAAAGTACATAATGAGTTTTTTACTTTGAAGGAAGCTATAAATATCTAAAGTGGAAAACAAAAGTACCAGGTAGATAAAAGATGCCGCTCTTACCCTGACAATGACTGAGATATAACAAAGAAATTAGAGAAAATGTGCCAAGTACTTAACCTTAAAGACAAAAGATTTCAGTCAAGAAGCTAAAAATATGGCTGAAAGGAGAACCAAATCATCATAATTTCCAAATTCAGCTTAAAACTATTCTTATTTCAAATAACCTTTTGGAATTAATGGCATAGTAAAGACTTTTCTTTTTACAGATTACCTGGCAAGTAATATTCCAAGATATAGATGACACTTTACACAATTAGTGCCATTTTCCAGCCTGTTTCCCTTAACTTTCCTCAAAAGACAAGAAAATAACTACGCAATAAATATCAGCAAGAATCGCTGCACTTCAGATGGTGTTTATTTTTTGTAAGAATATTTTAAACTGCACTCACCTGCTCCAAATAGTTCTTTGTGGACCTCTAATACCACAGCGACACCAATATTGTCTTTTGTCATCACTCTGTTCAACATAGCTTCGGATCCATCTGAATTAGCCATTGCCACTTGGTTAAATTCCACTGTATGCTTCTGCACCAATGTAAATCTAAAAGGTACAATGCATTAGTATTATGTTATTAGATAATTGGACTTTCATGCTAAAAGCCATTAAATGAAGGGAGCACAAGACATGGATGCTACTCATTGATCTCCCTAGTCACTTTCTAGCTGCAAGAGGCCTTGTGATATAGTTCTGGCCAATGAGAGGAAAAAGGTCTGATTACTGTAGAAACTTTCTTGGAAGTGCCACCTAGCAAAGATGGTGTGTGTGCATGTATGTGTATGTGTGTATTCCTTTACCCTTTTATATCTCTGCCCCTGTGGTGAGAAACAGGAGGGTAAAAGACAGCCCACTCTGAATGGAGAAGCAGCTGAACCAGTTCTGGACTGCCATTTTTGGATCTCTTGTGTGAGAAAATTACTCTCCTCCTACTTCTTTAAGCTACTGCTGGGATTTTCTGGTATTCAAAGGTGAACACAACCTTAACTAAGTCAGCAGATTAATAAGAAAGAACAGCAAGAGGGAGGGGATATGGGGATATACATATACGTATAGCTGATTCACTTTGTTATACAGAAGAAACTAACACAACAATGTAAAGCAATTATACTTCAATAAAGATGTTAAAAAAAATAAGAATAAAATCTACCTACCCTGTTTGCAGTTTTATTCTCACCACATCAAGAAATCTGTCAAGAAAATGCAGGGACACACCCTTATCTCGGCTAAGTCGAAGCCGATTTTTCCATCTGGCTTTTACTAGAAAGCTGGAATTAGGTGAATGTAAGTGAACAGAAAGAAAGATTCTATAAGATGAGGAATGGCTCTCGCTGTGATTACAGCTTCTGCATCTGCACTAATATTTCTTTTCCTTAGTGCCAAAGTAGGTATTGTAGCATTGTAGGATTTAATAGAATTGAGTCTAGCACTGTCATTTAATAGCAGTATGACTTTGGTCAAGCCATTTAACCTCTGTCAGCCTAGTTTTATTAAGTTTGTGAAGTATTTATAAACAACCAAAACCTACTAAATATACTGTCTACCTTTCACTAGGTTTTAAGTGGAGAAAAGATATCTTTGCTCTTATAAAAGGTCCCCACCCCATCTTCCTCCTAGCTTTGAAAGAGAAGCCTGCACACATTCCTTCAAAAATACTAACATCTTACTGTGTTGCAGGGCACTGCTAGATGAAATAATACTCCTCTCCTTGCTCCAATTCTGAATGTCTCAGATGCGCTGAGAAGAATAAAAGGTCGGGTCAGGTGCCTACTCCTAAGCCAGAGTGATTAAAGGGAGTGTAGTTTCCACCCTCTACCTTAAAGAGGGGATATTTAAACTGAAACATGAAGGATGAGGAACTACCAAGGTGAAGAATGGAATCAGGAGCATTCCAGACAGAGGAAGAAGTGAGAGGTCCTGGGTCAGCAAACAACTTTGTATGTTTATAGGTTAGAAAGGAACGGAAGGGTAGAAATGGTGTTGGAGATTAAGAGGAAGAAGACTGACTGAACAGGTTCTAAGCAAGGATATGTTATTATTTGATTTATATTTTTTAAGATCACTGCAGCTGCATTGTAGAGAATGAATTACAGGAGCCAAAGTTCAGGAATTATGAGAACAATTAGAAAGTTTCTGAGGTTGTTTGGATGACAGATGATGGTGGCTTAGGCTAAGGCAAGAGAAATAAAGAGAAGTAGGCAGATTCAAAATAAGTTCTACAGATAGAATTGATCATCCTCCATATCAGACTTTTAAAAATGTCTTTAAGCAGTGGAATACCTTTTTCAAACAATTTCTGGTAAGATTCTTATACATAAAACAGATAAAGGCAGTATTAGGTTTAAATAAATCAATCACTGAAAATGACGAATCTGTTTTGATGATTATAAAAATTTGAAATCAGAGGGTATAGATGATAATTATAGTCATATCAGTCTCAGTACCCAGTTTATTTCTCTATTCTGTTTTGGTTACACAGCATTAATAATAAAAATCCTGATTCACACAGACACACAGATACAAGTGGTAAATAACTGACTTTGAACTCAGAAAAAGAAAGCAGGCAAAAACTCAATTCAGAGGTCTGCAACAAGTCAACTAAGCAGCATATCAGGAACATGTTATCAATTTCCAAAGTGTTAAAATTTGATATCTGAAACATCTGAGTGAACATGTTATTTTTAAATTACAGTTTAATTATTTGTATTTAATTTTTTTTTTTTTTTTGTACGCGGGCCTCTCACTGTTGTGGCCTCTCCCGTTGCGGAGCACAGGCTCCAGACGCACAGGCTCAGCGGCCATGGCTCATGGGCCCAGCCGCTCCACGGCATGTGGGATCTTCCCGGACCGGGGCACGAACCTGTGTCCCCTGCATCAGCAGGCGGACTCTCAACCACTGCGCCACCAGGGAAGAAGCCCTGTATTTAATTTTTGAAATATCTTGTAAATATTAACTCTTAAGGCTTATTTATAGGAACCTAGGGTTCTGTAGGAAAGTTTGAAAATCCTATTTAATAGTTATATTTTTAATATTGGAATATTTTTCTTCTACCAAAGTCAGACTATTATTTGGTAGGGGTTCTAATAATTAGATATTCGCCCCCCCATATCTAATATCTAATTATTAGAACTAATATATCTAATTATTAGAATTGTCTAATTATTAGAACTCTTCCCTAACTAAAATTTGTTTCCCTGTATCTTTCTTCCATCAAAACTAGATCTACATCATTTCTTTACAGGAATATGGAATTTCTTTTCCATTTGACACTACTTTAAATATCATCCCCAAGTCTTCTCCAGAAAAGAAATCATCAATTCTTTATATGATATATGGTGTAAAACAGTTGTTCATTTGAAAAACTCAAGTTCACCCAAAGGTGCAGTACCTCGAACTGGGCAAAAATGAACTACTGCCTTCCTCATTTTGGACTGTATTTTTGTTAATAAAGACTGAAATTGCACTTGGGGACAGCCATGCTATTTATAAGCCAAATAAGTACTAATATATATCTAAAACTTTCTGGTTCTTTTAGCTCTTAAACCAGGTCTCTTCAGTCCTGCATTTATAGATGCTTAAAAACAAACAAGTGAAAAAATGACTTTATTAAGTTACATGTTTATTATAGAGATTTGGGGATGAGTTAAAAATATAAAGAAAATTTCAAGTCACTTGCAATCTAACACCCCCATCAACAAGTCAGTATGTTTCCCCAGACTCTTCTCCATGCACGTGCACACATTTTTTATACAATTAGAATAATACTCTAGGTCTATATTAATGAACATTCTACCATGGATGTTTCCCTATAAAATACTATATGTTTCAAAAATCAATTTTTATGGTTGCATTATAGTCCACTATACAGATTCACCATAATTGAACTATTCTGTATTGGACATTTACTTCTGATATGAGCTATTATAACTAATGCCGTTATAGTAATTAACACTTAGTTTAGTAATGAACTTTTTTGCATATAAATATTCTTCTGTGCTCTCAAATAATTTTACCTCTTCCTCTTTCCTTTCCTTTAATAATCTAAGAGTAGCAGACTTTATTTCTGTTGAGTATCATTTCATGAGCTTCTGCCCATTAGTTCACCCATTCAGATATTAAGGGTACTCGGAAACTACATTCTGTTTTTCCAAAAGATTAAATATCCCTGCCAGCTTTTCAGTTTTTATAAATTTTATATGTATATATATGTCTTCTCTTAAATAATCAAAATTCTCAATAGGGCAGTACAAATAATAATAATTAAAAAAAAGGGGTCCGTTATTGAGGATCCACTTTGTATCAAGACCTGTGATAGGTACTTCATACATATTAGTCCTAAAATTTGTTAAAACTTTGCAAAGGGGTGGACATGAAGAGATGCTGCCCAGATTCCTCATCAATCCTTCAGGAATTGCTCCAGTTGCAGAGAGCTGCCTCACCAAGGTCAAGTACTTCTGGGAGTGGCACGTATCCAATTACAGATCAAAAGCAAAAGATAAAGGTCTGGGAATTTTGGTCCCTCCTGGGTTAACTCTCACTGGCCATTTCAGCTCTAAAGCTACAGGGTGGGGTCAGCTGAGGCTGTCCGGGTCTGCAACACAGCTCTACTCTCTAGGCTAATTTCTGCTTTTTCCCCTTCCTTTCCACAGCTGTTGATCCTTAATAAACTCCTAAACACCAAAGTTAACTTGGAGTCTTCTTTCTGGAGAACTCAAATTGCAACAGACAGTATTACTATTACCATTACAAAGATGAGGAAAACTGAGGCTCGCCAATTTTTTGAAAAATGAAGTGGTTTATTTGTCCCCAGTATATTAGGACTCTTCCTATACACCAATATTCATGCCATCTATTGGGTTGGCCACAGAGTCCGTTCGAGTTTTTCTGTAACATTTTATGGAAAAAACCCGAACGAACTTTGTGGCCAACACAATACTCCTCTAATCATACTTTGGCAAGATATTTTAATACTATGGGGACATGGGATATAATTATATTGATATGGAAACCTAACTAGTTAAGGCACTTTAGTGACTCTCTTGGCTTACCAATCTCTTCTTGGTTTGCCAATCTCCTCCTTACCTGGTCTTAGTCTTTCCACTTTGAAAATAATTCTCCTCAACAGAGACCATGAAAGCAAAACAGAAGTTGCACACCTCTGGTTTTTTCTTGATCGTCAATTAGTGATGGCACAAGCCACATAGGTATACCCCTTTACAGTGCACATGTTACTTAAAATATCCTCCTCGTTGCCTTAACACTTTCACCCAATTTTCCCTTTTTCTTAATTTTCATGGCAAAGAACATAGGTTCATAAACTCTTTTTTTAAATACATACTTGGTTATTGACTTTTTTAATCAAAAACAACAACAACAACAAAAAAAACCCAAAACAAAAAACACTCCTTTTAAAACGAATCCTGAACAATTACCCGGTTCATTAGATGCCTCCAACTACCCCTCCAACTTTCTTCCTCATTGTTAGTATAATTTATAATTGTATGGCCCTAGTTTTGACTTTTGAAACTTCCCAATCTTCTTGAGG